ATGATTCCAAAATAAGTGTTCTCATTTTTATTTTATGAAACCAGAGGTCCTAAGATAACATTTAAAATTAGCTGTAAAAGTTGTAGCAGGAAACAGAAGAATATTGCATTAAGTTAGACTCAGTTTGCAATATTCAATATTAGAAGTAATTGATATCTCTTGACTAATGCTATAAATGACAATGATATTTAATAACAAAATAGGATGTAATCAGTTTCATCCTGTGGTGTAGCTAGACACTTTAGGCTTGGGAATCTATGTCCCTAATGTCACCTGGAAAATGTTGTGTTCTCTATAGTATTGTTTAGTGAATTTTTTCTGCACATAGACGGCTCCAGAACTGCTTAGCCTCAAAGGAGTCAGTTAGTAGATCTTGTGACCTCACTTGATTTTGCCATTCCTTGAGTTTGAAGGAAAATTTTCGTTGTTTTTTTTACCAATGCTATCAATAACCATGCTGTCATTTTTATTATAGACATTATAATTATTATAATGTTAGTCACTACTAACAGCAATATAAGGAACCAGAAAATGTTTCTGAAAATCAAGGAAAAGAGTAAAGAGGTGAGACAGGCAGTACTCATAATTGGCTCATTGGTAACTTGGTACTTGTGTAGCCCTCTATGTGTAAAGTCAATTAATAGAAGAAATTCACAATGGGCATGGCATGTACATACATGCCACCCCTGGTGGGTTCAGGTTATGTATTTATTCTGCCTGAAAAAAATGTGTCCCTAAATTGAGGCCATGGGGGGGAAGGTCAAAAATTGCTCCCTCCCAATTATGCCACTGATTTACTGTTAAATTAAAACAAATAGAAATAATTTGGGTATTACATCAAGCATTCAAACTGCTTTGTATGAGAATTATAAATTTGAATCATATATTTTTTTATTAGAAGGGAAATGTTTATGACAGTAGCAGTTTTTAATTATTCGTTTCCTTCTTACAGCCAAAGGAAAACTATTCTCAGTGGAGATTATTATACTTCATCTCCTTCTTGTTACTCGTGGGATTCTTTGTACTGAACATGTTTGTTGGAGTTGTCGTGGAGAACTTCCACAGATGCCGAGAAGAACAGGAAAAGGAAGAGAAAGCTCGCAGGGCAGCTAAAAGGGCCAAAAAGCTGGAGAAAAAGAGAAGAAGTAAGCATCTAACTTCATAACATAGTTTAGAATATATGTTCTATTTTACTTTACCACAACTGTTTTACATTAAAAGGAAGACTTGTTGATTTTGTTTCTCTTTTCTTTAATGTTATCTTCTATGAATTATGATCTGTATTTATCTTTGGATCATTTCTGTTTCTTTCCTCTTACTTATTCTTGTAATGGTATTATTTTATACCCAGTGGCATGCAGAGGTCTAGTGATATCCAGGGCCAACTCCTTGATTGGATGCCTTACAGACTCAAGTATAAAGCCTAGTATTGAGAAATACTTTGAGAAAAGGAGATATTTTGAAGATGTAAGCAAAAAGGGGATACAAGATAAAAACTTGATTCAATTTGAATACAAATTTCAGAATCATTATCATATTTCCCTCTCTGATTGGATGCCCCCTCACTTGGATGCCTAGGGCCACTGCTCCTTTGGTCCCCTGTCTGCACGCCACTGTTGTATACCCATCTCATATAGTTTTATCTTATGATACAGCTGTATGTCTCTTCATTATCTTTCAACTCCTCTTCTTCCTCCAACAATAAGAACTAGAGAGATTCAGGGAAGAGAGAATAAAGAGTCTAGTTGCAGCAGGCATAGACCCTTCCACAGTAGACATCGAGGCGGAAATCAGAAGACGTAGAAGAAGGAAGAAATTGTTGAAGCTTATGAGGCTTCATGAAAGTAATGGGTGTTTATGGGTGAAATAGTTTGACTTTAGAGACTGCTCTGTAGAATTAACCAGGACTAGTGTTTCAAGCCTTGTCTTAAACTAACTCGGTACAGGCTGTTCATGATTAGATGCAGTGAATATTTAACAGAATCTCACTTGATACCTGTGCATGTACACATGTCAAAGGTATCTTTTAATTATCAGTTGAGGGTTTATATCATTTGCATAGATTTTAGTAGGAATATATAAATCCTATCTCTAAACCATGTCAACAAAATATTTTAGTAGATTGCATATATGATTACCATTGTATTGATGATTAACCAGAACAAACTTCTTTTTTACAAGACCTGACAGTTGAGAGATTTAATGATTGTATGCACACACACACATATACATATATACACATATATACACATATATACACATATATATACATATATACATATATACATATATACATATATACATATATATATATATATATATATATATATATATATATATTATAATATATATATATTATATATATATAATATATATATTATATATATATTTATATGCGCATATATACATAGATATACATGTATACATACATGCATGCATACAAATATATATATACATATATATATATGTGTGTGTGTGTGTTTGTGTGTGTGTGTGTGTGTGTGTATAATGTACATTCTCATGGTATGTCAGGGGACATCAAGAGAATACTTCAGATTGCCTATTTAAAGGTTACATGGTGTTAGATAAACAAAATGTTTTACATTATTCACACATGATCTCTCTTGGCTGTTACCAAATATATAAGTTGTGAGAAAGCCATAATTATTTATTTTTTTGATGATTCATAGATCATAATAAAATTATTGTTTACAGGTTAAATGTAATCTTGTAATGCTTGCTGTGTCTGCATGTATAATCATAAGACAACAAGCAACATGCAATATGTGACCATCTCTTCCCCAGAAATGCGTGAGCCACCTTACTACAGCAGCTATTCAAAAGCAAGGCTTTTCATTCACAATATTGTGACCAGTAAATATTTTGACCTTGCAATAGCTGCTGTCATAGGCCTCAACGTCGTCACCATGGCCATGGAATTTTATAAGATGCCAAAGGTGGGTTTTTTTGACATAATTGACACTATGATTAGGCATGCTTAGAGTCAGAAAGTGACTGTTTATACAAAATTTCTTATAATGTGCAGAACAATGATATTGTCATACTCAGGTATATGGCAGAATATAGTCATTATAAATAACAAAACAAATATTGATGTTTAATAAGTGTATTTTTGATATTATGTCTCCTTCAACAGGAACTGGAGTATGCTCTTCAGATTTTCAACTATTTCTTCACAGCAGTTTTCATCCTGGAATCAGCCATGAAAATGCTAGCTCTTGGATGCAGGAGATACTTCAAGGACAGGTAGTACTAGCTGCTTTATCTCCACCTAAATTTTTGAACACAGATTGTGAACGTATGCAAATGAATCTGAATGTTTGGCAGTTAGTTATCAGAGGTTGATTCTGTTAATATTTTAAATTTAGTTATTGTTCATTTTTAATCATTTTACATTCTATTGTACTTCAAAAAAAGCAAAAGCAAGTCCAAGAGAGAATTTGAACAACACTTTAGATTCATTTGCCAAAATTCTACACTAGTCACCTCCATTATGGTATTACATTCTTTTTATTAAACCTGAAAATAGGTCTGCATTTTTTTCTTAGATTATTATAACCTAAATGCAGAAATAAGTGACAATGTATTGAGATTGTGGAAAACAATGTAATATATATATTGAATGTATATGAAGCAAACTCTAACTTCATGTTTAAATAACATAGCTTCAGAAGTTCTTTAGCAAAGTATAAACTGATGTACTTAGTACTTCGGAGTTCAGTGAATGAGTGTTTAATATCAGAAAGTGGCAATGATTATATACTGTCAGCATTTTAGATGAACCATTTCTCTAAGGCTTTTAAATTCTCCTTTTATTGAGGTTGGAATACTTAAATTCTTTCATTTTATGAAGCAGTCATTGTTTCCTTTTGTATTAAAAGGAAAAGTACTTCTCTTCAGCTTATTTTAAGAGATGGGGCAAAGTTGTAAAATGACATTTAAGTTTTTTATATTCATGTTTAATACATTTTTTTTATAAATGTATTGTGTAGATGAATGTGATTTAGATAAACAGATATAACCAGATGTTGTAAAATAACTAACACAAGGTGTTTCTTATGTTTGGAGATTGTGATTTATTTTTCACATCATTTTTGAAAGAAAAAAATAGTTTATTGTATGTCACATTCATTACTTTGGTATTATGCCTCACCACCATTTATTTGGCTCCATTGTTCATAATGCACTTGTTCACAATGGTATGATGACCCAGTGGGCAGGTCAGGGCATTTGGAAGAGGTTATTGATATTTATCATATTCACTTTTATGCACTACAGGTTTCCTAGAAGGCATGTTATATCATGAATTATTATTCAAGTAATCTAAACTGCTGACAGGGTAAAGAAGTAATACCATAGTTCAGATATCTTAGATTATGATTTACTTCATTTTTGTACTCCTGTAATGATGATCTCACCATGTTTTAACATTTCCCTCATTTTCGATACATCCATCCGTATTGTCCTTGGTGGTCTAACTTTTGTCCCTGCCCCTGGGTGGCCACATCCCCAGCGAGGAGTTTAGGTGAGGGAGGACTGGTTGCAGTGCTTGCCTAGATCTACACTCACTTCTATATACTTGGAACCTAACCTCAGCCTCTAGTAAACTCCTAGCCTTTGCTTCACTCTCATGCTTTTTGAACAGGCAGAATTAGGTCCTCTCCTCCCCTTCCCCTGAAAAAGAGCCCTAGCTTTGCACAGTGCAAGATAAACTACTGCATAAGAGAATGTCATTTAAGTTATTGTAGACTGATTTTCAGAAAGGTTGGGATGAAAAGTATGTAGGTGTCAGTGGAGGTGTTGGTAGTCTGCAGCTATAGTATCAATGTGTGTGTTGCAGGGAGATCATTGATATTTGGCAAACATTTACTAATATGGACAAGATTTTAAAATTTCATACAACTTTAACTGATATTTAAGACAATCATCCATTTAGTTTGGAAATTAGTCTGTCAGTCATACCACACTCATATGGATATATGGTGAGTAAAAATAACATTTTATAATGCTATATAGTTATTCTGAAAAGAATAGCTATTACATCGTTTCAACTGCAAAGTTACCATTTGCTGCTACAAAGTATAAAATATACCATTTTATCTTACCTTTATCTTTTGGCCAAAAAGGTTTAGTTTTGGTAATTTTTTATGCCATTTATATGAAATTCTTAATATTAAGCCAAACAGGAGAAATGATACATTCAGTTTATTTTTGATTCAGGTATGATACTTGTCCATTATAGTTATGAAGCCAGTCTAGAGCTTATAGCCTTGTATTGTAATAATAATTGTCAACCCAAACATCAACAGTGAAGTTACTTGCACACCATCCTGTATTTTCCCACAATGTAACTGTATGTAAGTATAAGTTGGGCAGGATATTTTGGATTTTTTTTTCTCCTCATTAGCCTACTCTAAATAGGTATGTAATCTCCCAAAAATATGCTGAATAATTATTAATTGATAGATAATGCTATGTATTTCACTGTTTGATGGTGTGGGTCTACATAGTTATGTAGCTGGTATTCTAATATTTTTCCCTTTCCCTGGGCTGCAATGCGTATCCGCTAGTGGGTAAATAATCCAGGAATTAGTCATATGTAGATTTTTCAATGTTTTACGGTACCTTTTTATATGCATTTTCCCCTTTGTAATGAATACAACCTCAAGGTTTGAAAGAATAGTGACAAATAGACAGCAATCCATGAATCAATTGTTGTTATCATAGCTTCATTTTTTAGCACTAAACATGACATTTGTGTCAATTGCTGCTTGGTTTGTCACTTACATTCAAAACGGAATTTACAGTTTCTTGGTAGTTACAAACTAACAACAAAACTTGTGTAATATTTGCATAATGTTTTGTGATAACAGATTCGTTGGTTCTGGTATCAGTAGATTTGTTATTATTGCATTCCTTCTCTAAAAGTTCTTAGAGATCCCTAGTGTTTCTTCCTAATTTTAGTTCATAAATAGCTGGGGAAGAGACCTTGCAGGCTAACCTTTAAAAGTCTTTATTGAGGAATAATAGTAAGATAAATTTAGTAAATATAGGACAAATGGAAGTTTTTTATTTTAAAAATCACAAGAATATTACATTTTGATATATTTTATTTAATCTATAAGAAAGGGATTATCATACCTTAGCAATTTAAACACAACACAGGTATGCTAGTTTGAGATTTGTTTGATAGATAAAAATTATAGAAAGAAGAAGAATGAGTAAATTTCATATTATTTATGATAATCTTCCATAACCCATTTACATATTGCTAATATATTTTGCATTAGGAAAGTACAGTTCTTATCCAACAAGTACTTTAAGCAGTCATTATGTTATCAAATGTTTCAGCCTATAATTTGACAAAATGTTTTGAAAATTAAAAAGTAAATGCTCAGGTGTTCTCTATTGTGCATTTAGTCCTCTATATTCTATAACAATTTCTTCTGGATACTGAAGATCATCAGAATATTCTTGCATGCTATAGTAATAGTTTTATTTTTTCCTGCATTACAACATGTGATTTAAGTGTTAGCAAATTGGTTTTATCCTTGTGTATCAAGTTACTTGACCTAAGGCTTTGATGTTTCACACAGATTGTTGACAAAAATTTCATGCTCACAATAAGATATCAGTAGTAACTACATATGTGCATGTGCCAAATTCTAGGCACTATCTGATGCAGATAAATATCATTTATAATCTGATATAGATAAAAGAGTTCCAGATGTTGTTTATAGTCTTAAATAGATATTATAAACAGTAAACTTTAGGGGTAATGTGGCAAAAGTATTCAAATTGTCAAAATTGTATAATCTGATATCATACATAATATACATAGAGTACTCTGATCTACATTTATAATGATCTGATACCCTTAAAACACTCATATTTCTTCTGTGAGATTGAATATTGAATACCCATTGCTGTGTGAGCTAAATAATACAAGTCTGTTGTTGGGTCAATACAGAATCCTGTGCCAGTGGTACAGGTCATGATGGCTGTCTTATATTCTTTTAATTTTGTAATATCTCAAGTAATGTTTTGGCATTATGAAGTTTTTGCACTCTTTACAAATCATTTTTTTACCTCATACCATTGTATGTTTTAGAGAAAAGTGAAAAATATTTAGTCTGTTTTCTTTTTCTTTTCTCAGTATCTTTCTTGTATAATAGTTTCTTATTCCTGTTATGTAAACAGCACTTCATGATAATCTTCACATGAAATATTAGTTAATAAATGAATGCAGAATTTGATATGATGTACAAGATATCTAAAAAGCCTATAACATAAACACATAAGCTGTTGTATACCACAATGCAGTTGTCAGATTTAATGCACAAGAAAGTAATGAAAGTCTGTACTGTAAGAGTTCTTTTCATTTGAAAATAACATCCTTTCATTTAGTTGTCATTGTAGATTTTAGAACTATTTACAGAAATTACCGGAGATGCATAAAAAATCAAATTTACTGTTTTAAAAATTTATGGTAAGAGACAGTTTTATAGAATACAAAGATCTGCATCACAACAGTAAATAAGCATTGGAGATTATAATTGAGTGCCTGAAAAATCTTGATAAGTGTTCAGGACTTTAGAAAATCTTTTTGAACTTCATTTTTCCTTCTTTTTTTCCTAGTATTTTGGATTCTTTTGGATAATCTTTATTTAGTCATATCATTCAAATCATATACTGCTTGTTTTTCTAGCACCTTGCTTTCCAACTAAAGGAACATTATAGTTTATTCATTGGAATTTATTCATTCACATAATTGAAAAATATATATGGAATCTGTTTATAAATAGTTTAGTTAATCATTAAATCGCATGATCATTTAAGTTTAAAATTATGAGTGGGTTTTTGCAATTGTATATTTGTGTGTTAATCTACATTCTCCCCTTCACCACAATTTAGGTGGAACCAACTGGATGTGCTCATTGTCATCCTGTCGGTTGTGGGCATTGTACTGGAGGAGATGAAGAGTGAGATCATCCCCATCAACCCAACCATCATTAGAGTCATGAGAGTGTTGAGAATTGCCCGAGGTATATTTTGTTCCTGGAAATGGTACTCAGTTAGTCTGTTTAGGGTTGGAGATGTAGAAGGCAAAGTAGAGGAAGAAGAAGGAGGGAGAGAGGGAGTGAGAGAATAGAGGAAGAAGAAGGAGGGAGAGAGGGAGTGAGAGAAGAAGGAAGAAAGGGAGGGAGAAGATGAAAGATGGAGAGATGGAGAGAAAGTTAGAGAGAGGAAAAGAGAAAGAGAGAGGGTAAGAGAAAATGGAGAATACGGGGAAAGAGAGAGAGAATGAGAGAAAAAGAGAAAGAGAATGAGTGAAAAAAGAGAGAGAGAGAGAGAATAAGAAAAAAAGAGATAGAATAAGAGAGAGAGAATGAGAGAATAAGAGAGAGAGAATGAGAGAGAAAAAATGTGAAAATAAAAGAGAGAGAGAGAGAGCAAGAGAGAGAGAGAAAGCAAGAGATAGAGAGAGAGAGCAGAGAGAGAGAGAGAGAGAGAGCAAGTAAGAGAGAGAGCAAGAGAGAGAGAGAGAGCAAGAGAGAGAGAGAGAGAGAATATGAGAGAAAGAAAGAATGTGAGAGAGAGCAAGAGAGAGAGAGAGAAAGTGAGAGCAAGCAAGAGAGAGAGAGAGAAAGAGAGAGAGAGAGAGAGCAAGAGAGAGAGAGAGAGAGCAAGAGAGAGAGAGAGAGAGAGAGAGAGCAAGAGAGAGAGAGAGAGAGAGAGAGCAAGAGAGAGAGAGAGAGAGAGAGAGCAAGAGAGAGAGAGAGAGCAAGAGAGCGAGAGAGAGAGCGAGAGCCAGAGAGCGAGAGCCAGAGCCAGAGAGAGAGAGAGTGAGAGGTGGAGAAAGAGTGAGAGGTGGAGAAAGAGTGAGAGGTGGAGAAAGAGTGCGAGGTGGAGAAAGAGTGAGAGGTGGAGAAAGAGTGAGAGGTGGAGAAAGAGTGAGAGGGAGAAAGAGAGAGAGGTGGAGAAAGAGAGAGAGAGGAAGTGAATAGTAGAGAAAGAGAGAGAGAGAGGGAGAGGGAGAGAGAGTGAGAGAGATGGAAAGAGAAGTGAAGAAAAAGAGAGTGAGAGGTGGAAAAAGAGAGTGATAGATGGAGAAAGAGAAAAAGTAAGAGGTGGTGAAAGGGTAAGAGGTGGAGAGAGAGAGAGAGGGGGGGGGTTAGGAAGAGGGAGGTTGAGAGATAAAGAGATAGATAGAAAGAGAGAGTAAGAGTGAGTGATATATATATATATAGAGAGAGAGAGAGAGAGAGAAAATACAGGATTCTAGGGTGTTCATAAATGGGAGGTATGAATTTAAGTCATGTTTTAACATATTAAGTGTACTGTAAGATTGACTATATAAGATAAATCTTTTGATTTATGAAATTAGTAAAAGCCTTTTTTTACCATTCTACTAGTATTGAAACTGCTGAAGATGGCAAAGGGCATTCGAGCATTACTGGACACAGTCATGCAAGCTCTTCCACAAGTTGGCAACCTCGGCCTCCTCTTCTTCCTTCTTTTCTTCATCTTTGCTGCTCTCGGTGTGGAACTCTTTGGGAGACTCGGTAAGGAAATTTAAAAAGATATTTGTGTGATTACCATTTATTCATTTTGTTAGATTAACCTTATGCTGCCATGAAAATTTAGTTTATTGTTGCATTATTTGGTGAAATGTCTTTACAAGTGCCTAGTCACAAAGAAAATTGATTTGTAGACCTTGTAACTTCACCTGATTTTCCCTTTCCTTGAATTTTCAGTTTTTTTTTTTTTATGCTATCAATATTTATGTTGTTATTATTGTAGAAGTTATGATTATTATAATGTTACTGACATTGCTAACAGCTATATGAAATATCACAAAAAATAATGCAAAGGATGACAGTTGAGGTAGGTAGTAATTGGCTCATTGATGACTCATTGATTTGTAGAGCCATCTATGTGTAAAAACAGTTAATACAGTAAACCCACGGTGGGCATAGCATGTCCATACATGCCATCCCTGGCTGCATCAGGTTAAGAATGTGATAATTTAAAGATTCATATGCCCTTCAATTGCCAGTGGAGATAATGGTTTTAAAAACATCTGAAGGTTAAGTGGTCTCTTGCCAAAATGTTATGATATATAATGGGATTTAAGTATAGATATAATTTAGCACTAGAATTAATTGTATGTTTTTGTTTTTTTAGCATATATTAAGTGCAGTTCATCATAATGGATATATTTTCTTGGGTTATATAAGAGATTTTAGAATTATAGAAAATGAAAATGAATTTACTGATTGACTTTACAAGCAGTCTTTTTTTTTCTTTCTTTCTTTTGTGGAGTAGAAGTACATTTACATTTCTGGGAGGTTATTATGCAAGACATAATATCTTCCAAATTTTCATAAGCACATATGTCTTGGAATGTATGTGCAGGAATACTGAATATTTGTGTCAGTGAATTGGATCCCCTTTTGCACATCTAATTTCTTTAGCTAGGTGGATAGATGTTTTATTTAGTGCTGGTGCTTGATATGCTTATGCAAGCCTAAGGCATTATTCATAGTCTCATTACTGGTTTGTTCTTTAGAATGCGATGATAGCCATCCATGCCAAGGGCTAGGAGAACACGCACACTTCAAGAACTTTGGTATGGCTTTTCTCACACTCTTTAGAGTAGCAACGGGAGACAACTGGAATGGCATCATGAAAGTGAGTAAAGCAATAGTAGTCTAATGATTATTGTGAATTAAAAAATGATTTCATATTTTGGTATGTATGATTTATTTTCTTGAAAGTCACAGATACATCTAAATTTAAAGAATAAAATAATTTTTCTATGTGATCTATAAAGTATGCAGGCTATGACAATGGAGTTTAAATTAACTTGGTAAATCATCTTCAGGACACACTAAGGGACAATTGTGATGACGAGCCAGACTGCGTCAAAAACTGCTGTCTCTACCCTTTTGTGGCCCCCATTTTCTTTGTTGTGTTTGTCCTGATGGCTCAGTTTGTGCTGGTCAACGTCGTCGTCGCTGTCCTCATGAAGCACCTCGAAGAGAGCCACAAACTGGTATGTATCCAAATGCAAAGCTGAAATCCTCATCATCATTCACATCTTAGGGGAGAATTGCCTAGTAAACATGGTTACATGCCTTGAGCAGAAGGTATTTCATTGCCCTACATATTCCAGTTGTTTCACAAGACATGTTATGTTTCACTGTGCATGTGTAACATCACTGAATGAAACTTCTGCTATGATGGCTCAGTTCAAGGATAATGTTTGGTATGCCTTTCATTTGCATGGGATTCCCTGAGGAATATCAACACTTACAGGGTCTCCCCAAACATAGCATCTCAGAATACAACATCCATAGAGCTGCACTTACTTGTGACAGCATCTTGGTCTTTATCTTAGACTGCACATATTTCACCTTTTAACTCTTTATGATAGATCTCATTAAACTCTTAATGCTACTTCAAACTTTTGATCTTTATTTCCACTTTTAAGCTCTATTTCTTGATAAGTGGGAGTTTGCTTATTATTTCAACTTATTGATATGTATCTTTATTTTGAAATTGAGTTGTTGTTTTTTCTTCAATCAATTAGTTTGTATGAGTTGGTCTTTGACTATTTTCTGTTTGGCTCTCAGCCACCTGAAGAAAGGGATGATGGAGATTCGTCTGAAGATTCCTTAGATGAATCACCAGATGAAGATGGGCTTGACTTCATTGATGAAGGTTTATATGAATTAGTGGAGGACAGCTCTGATGATGGCGATGAAGTCAGGGCTCATGATGAGCATGAGAGCGTAAGAAAACACAATGCAATGTTTAGAAATGAAAATGACAGCATGGAAGAAGTTAGACAAACTGATTCGCAACTTCAAAATGAATCAGGACATTTAGAAAAGGGAACAGACAAGAATATGGATGGCCAAGAATGGGTTATTGATTTAGTGGCAGACAAAAGCCTCAATCATGAGAATGACCATGTATGCACAAGTGAGGATGCAGCAATCCTGCCAGAAGGGAGAAAGAATGTGGTCAATCAAGGAAGCATGTTCACTCCAAGTCGAGAAGGAATATTTAAAGACACACATAATGTAAAGAGTGGTAGAGGTGAATCTACTACATGTAAAATTGAGTTTTCAGATAGTGTCATAAGAATACTATATGATGAACAACGGCCAGCTGACAGATCAAGAGAATTAAATGAAATATCTAGAAAATCTGTCACAGATGAAGAAAGAATATGTCAGACTCAAGACGACAGAAATGAAGGTGGAGGAAAGAACAGGGAGCATAGCATGTCATTGGAGAGTAATTTGAGCAAAAAGGACAATATGACATTAGATATAAGACTTAGGCTGGTCAGTTTGATTGAAAACTGTAGATTTAAGTTCAAGAAAGAGAAATGCAACAATACTCCACCCAGTAACCACAAATCAAGAAGATCTAGCAAAAGGCAGGGTATCAAAGGAAATTCCTCAAATGACAACACTCAGAAAACAAAGCAGAATTCAGACCAATCCCCAGGAGATAAAACTCAAGTAAAGAAAGATGTTAAAATAAAGTTTATAGAAAGCCTTTTAGAACAGAATATGATACTAGAATATAATAGTGAAATAACAGAGCCGCTTGAGAAACATTATAACCAAAAGGAAAGTTTGAGGAGCATGAAAATTTTGGAAGACAAAGCATGTAATACTGAAACAGAATTTCTGTATTCTACATATGATAGGAATATCACAGTTAGTGAGAACACACAAGACACCATAGAGTTTAATGAAACCAAAGATGATGATCTCAGCATTCAGAAAGGTTCAGTTTTCAATAAAACTCCAAATATTTCAGCTTTTGAAAAAGATACTAAAAGGAACTGTGAAAATGAACTAGAACAAGATGCTAGAAGAGGGTTCTGCTCAAATAACACAAAGGGAGATCATTCTATACGTATGTCAGATTCCCAAAAGCCTCTAAAAGAAACTGGTGCAAGAAGAAAACACTTAAAGCAGATTTGACATTCTCAAATTCAGCCAATATTCATTAGTGTGCGGTCTGCAATGCTCAAATTCTAGAACTAAAAGTATTCAAAGAAAACCAGTTTATTGATAAGATATTTGTGTAATACTCGGTTGAGTTTCTCAGTTAACATCTGAAAATTTTGGAAGATTCTGTGAAGAAAATGTGACTTAATGATAAACAACCCAGCACTGATGGAATACTGTGGTGGACATCTCTATGCACTCAAAAACCAGCAGCTCTATGGTACAAAATTTTGTGTGAGGATTAACTTAACATTAATTGCTTTTCTTAGACTTACCTTTTTCAAGTTTGATCTGTGTTAGACAGATTCACTGACTTTTCTGCAGATTCTGGTATTTTGAGAACTGATGAACCTTTTTTTTAGTGAGAGAGAGAGAGAGAGACAGAATCAGTTTCATGAGAAAATGGCATTGCAGTATTTTGTCTGGAAGCAAATTTAAGACCCTTACCCAAGAACTGAAGGGGTTGTATGTTTGATTATCTTTGACAAAATTCATAATTACCTATTGTGTTCATAGTTACAGTACTAACAAGAAAGTCTTTTGCATCAAATTTCTACTAATCCCTAATTTAAAAGAAGATGTGGTTTTGTGAAAAAGAACAATGAGGAGTCCTTATTTTATCTTTAAGAAACGCAAAAGTAACAAAAATGTTGCTATTAGAAGTAGAGATGCAATTCTTCACATAACTAATAATGAAATCCTGTAAACAGATTACAGAAAATACTTTTTTTATTGTGTCCAAGAAAAATATACCATCATTAAAGAGACACATCTGCAATGCTTGTCAGTGATCTGTTTTGTGTTGTGGTGTCAAAAGTTCATACAAGTGTCCCCAAAACGAGGAACACTAGACAGTCAGACGTTGTCCTCCCTGGTTCCTTGTCTGTCGTATTGTCTTAAAAGCAGATTGTCCCCAACTTCCAAGGGGTAGTTCATCATGTCTTTTTATATTCCCGGTGTATAAGGCTAGTTGTATGGCAGCTGCACCTCCTCATTTTTCATCCTACTGTCACCCCTTTGTATGCCATCTTATGGCTCCTCATCCTCATTCTCCTTCCCTTGTGTTTTATATTTCACACTTGCATAAATGGAGAACATGCAAGGTTAACTTTGATTTCCTGTGTTTGTCAGCACTGTGATTTCTGATCAGGTCTCTTAAGATGACGGAAAGGAGTCCTTGATCCATATGTTTATTTTCAATATTTTGTTTGTATCTTGTGATTAATTTTAGTCTCTCTCTCTCTCTCTCTCTCTCTCTCTCTCTCTCTCTCTCTCTCTCTCTCTCTCTCTCTCTCTCTCTCTCTCTCTCTCTCTCTCTCGTCTCTCTCTCTCTCTCTCTCTCTCTCTCTCTCTCTCTCTCTCTCTCTCTCTCTCTCTCTCTCTCTTTTCTCTCTTCCCTCTCCCCTTCCCCTTCCCTTTCCCCCTTCTCCCCTTCCCCCTTCCCCTCCCTTCTCCCTTCCCCTTCCCTCCTCCTCTCCCTCTTCTCTTCCCTCTCCCTCTTCCCTCTTCCTCTTCCCTTCTTCCCTCTTCCTCTTCCCTCTCTTTCTCTTCTTCTCTCTTTCTTTCTCTCTTCTCTCTTCTCTCTTTTCTCTCTTCTCTCATCTCTCTTCTCTCTTCTCTCTTCTCTCTCTCTCTTCTTCTCTCTTCTCTCTTCTTCTCTCTCTCCTCTCTCTCTCTCTCTCTCTCTCTCTCTCTTCTCTCTGCTCTCTCTCTCTCTTCTCTCTCCTCTCTCTCTCTCTCTCTCTTCTCTCTCTCTCTCTCTCTCTCTCTCTCTCTCTCTCTCTCTCTCTCTCTCTCTCTCTCTCTCTCTCTCTCTCTCTCTCTCTCTCTCTCTCTCTCTCTTTTTTCCCTGTCCTTCTTCTCCCTCCCCTTTCCCCTTCTCCATCCCCTTCCCCTTCCCCTTCCTTCTCCCCCTTCCCTCTTCCCTCCCCCCTCCCTCTCCCCCCCCCCTTTCCTCTCCCCTTCCCCTTCCCCTTCCCTTCCCCTTCCCCTTCCTTTCCCCCTTCCCTCCTTTCCCTCTTCCCTCTCCCTCTCCCTCTCCCTCTCCCTCTCCCTTCTCCCTCTCCTCTCCCTCCCTCTCCTCTCCCCTCTCCCTCTCCTCTCCTCTCTCTCTCTCTTCTCCTCTCTCCTCTCCTCTCTCTCTCTCTCTCTCTCTCTCTCTCTTCTCTCCCTCTTCTCTCCCACTCTCTCACCCCCCCCCCCCCCCCTCTCTCTCTCTCTCTCTCTCTCTCTCTCTCTCCTCTCTCTCTCTCTCTCTCCTCTCTCTTCTCCCTCTCCTCTCCTCTCTCTCTTCTCTCTCTCTCTCTCTCCTCCTCTCTTCTCCCTCTCCCTCTCTCCTCTCTCTCTCTCTCCTCCTCTCCTCTCTTCTCTTCCTCTCTCCCTCTTCCTCTCTCTCCCTCTCTCTCCTCTCTCTCTCCTATCCCTCTCTATCTCTCTCTCTCTCTCTCTCTCTCTCTCTCTCTCTCCTCTCTCTCTCTCTCTTCTCTCTCTCTCTCTCTCTCTCTCTCTCTCTCTCTCTCTCTCTCTCTCTCTCTTCCTCTCTCTCTCTCTCTCTCTCCTCTCTCTCTCTCTCTCTCTCTCTTATCTCTTATTCTCTCCTCTCTCCCTCCATGTTTTTTGTACCAGTGTTTTATATAAGTCTGTTTATGTTATATTCTTTGTGTTTTCTTTATTGTCATGTATATATTCATATTAATTTTTAGGATTTGTATATAGAAATGGGGCTTTTGCTATGATATTTCTTAGTCTTCTACTTCCCATCCACTTCTCATCTTCTGCTATTTGTGCTAGTCACAAGTTTTGCAACACATACAGATGACCCTTGTATACCAGAGTTGGCTACCGTCATCCTCCAATATCGTAATATTTTGCCATGCAGTGTATTTTCAACAGAAATACCACTCATAAACATTACAGGGAAAGCTCTTCCATGTATGTGTGACTTAGTGAACTGATTGAAGTACTTGTGTGAATGTGTTTGTTAGTTTATGTATGTATTTGACTGTTGTTCCTTTTATGTATTTGGGTGTTAGTTCATAATTGTATTTGGGTGTTAGAATATCCCTGTATTTAGGCATTAGCCTACATTTTTATTCAATATGGGTTTTAGTCTATGTGTATAAATGTAAGTAGCATTCATGTAGCTTTTTATTTTGGGATATGGTTCAGGAGGTGCATAAAAAGCAAATGAGTAAGATTTTAGATTTCATTTGTATTTCTGTGATTTAAAAGATGCACATATTCAGATAGAAATGATAGCTGAAAATGGAAGCAATATTTTGAGTAACTGTATATGAAATGTGGCATTTTCTGATATCCTTTCAAAGGATTTCATCTTCGACTACTCATTATGCACAGTTTTTTTTCTCACAATTGTAGTAAAAGTAGTTGTAGTTTATGTATCTCTGTCCAGTGGTTATTCAGTGTCCACTTGTGACATTTGTATGCCACTGTAATTTAGGTGTTTTCAGAATGTTTTGTAGATTTGATATGTAGTGTCTCAATTGATCATAAATGTGAGTATTATCAGTGTCTATTCTTTTTGTTTGTTTTTAGGGCAATAATCCAAGTTACAAGACCATGGGGCTACATTAAAAATATGGGAATGTACAAATGTTACCAATATGGGAAAAAAGAATATCAAAATGATTTAGGTGGCAATATACAGTAATTATGGTTTCTTACAGTGACAGTATAGTACTTTTATTGGCAATGATATAATGACTAAGTTTCAAAGGCCATGGCAAGTTCTTGTGATATATTATACAAAGCTACTGTGAGTAAATATCTCACAGCAGAGTTTTTAGTAAGGAAGCTTGTTTCCAAGAATATGCATCTTCAAAGTTATGAATACAATAAACAAGCTGGAAAGGGTTATTAACGGTGAAGATAAGTTGTGAACAGAGATGATAGTGACAAATGTATAGAGAATGAATAATTTTACAAAGCAAGAGATGCATCTGGTGAATTTCTATTTGTATCTTTATCTGAATTACATGTAAGATATAAATTGAAATGTGTCAATTCTTCCTCATGCACTGTGAAGTTATTCATTCTCAGTCATGCCTTTCCTATACATTTTGTAAAAGTTATTGATTTTACTAGACCCTGAAAAAGTTAAATTAGAATTATATAATTTGTAATAATGACATCTGTGATATTTCCTTCATTCAAAAATTAAGAAACCATATGAAACAGTTATGGGAAATGTGTTTTTATTTTTTTCAGCTTGAAAACTTTAGTGGAAATGTAGTTCACACATAGATGTTTGCTTACATATTGCAGTATATATTCAGAAAGATGAAAGACAAATAAGTTTCATTATCGATGCCTGACCATATATTTGTGTATGTGTGTGTGTGTGTGTGTGTGTGTGTATGTGTGTGTGTGTGTGTGTGTGTGTGTGTGTGTGTGTGTGTGTGTGTGTGTGTGTGTGTGTGTGT